ATATCGTCCAGCCCTACTTGGACATATTATGAAGTCAATAAAATAAATAAAATCTACAAAAAATTGTGTCGGTTGTGATCACCCCCATTTTCTTAATGAGCGCTAAACACCACAACCTCCAGTCCATTTTTCCTTGTCGCCATGTGTTTGCTGGGCTGTGGGACTGCTGTAATCTGCGGACCTCCAAATACAGACCTTCAGCAAACTGGTATGCGCCATACATAGGCTCAAACAACTGATTAGGGCCAATATTTGGCTGGAAATATATTTAAATCGAACATATTTCGAAATACGTTAGTCATTTCGTAAAAAAAGCCAGTTAGAAGTCGTTTTTACCCGCAGTTATTCTCAGTTGTAGACCCAGTTAATTCTAAAGCGGAACCATTTCCCATTCGTATCTTTATTATATAAAAGTGACCTTAATTGGTCTATTATTTGAAGAAAATAAAATATTAAAGACATTTATCGTGATAAAAAATTAAAGTGCCGTTTCAGGAATCCAAATACGCGCGCTACAGGCTTCAATCCGCCTCCTTACAGCGTCACCGTTTCGGTTGAAGAGTCGCCATCTTTGTCTGGCTTTTAGCATCGTGGCTAACTGCTACATTTTGATAGCTTCGAAGCAAAAACAACTGCCCTTTCAACTACGGCCAAACAATTACACCCTGGGGTTTGAATCGTAAAACGCATATAGAACCTGTGCTGTAGGCAGAGCCTTCTTTGTAACTTTAAAACTGCTTACCTTCCAATAACGATGGCGCCGACGACGAGTCCCGAAGTACAATAAACCGAATTCCCAGATCTTTACGACTGCCTCTGTGTAGCCCCGCCCAATCTGGGCGCCAATTGGCCAGAATAAAAAAAAACGCATCAAGGTTCTCATTGGCTCATTCAACTGCCACTTAAATTGTTGCCAACTCACTTTCTTCTCCCCACAAAAAAGTCAAGCACGTTCATTAAAATATTTATTGACTTCCGGAATAAAGCAACCACATTTTATCAAAAACATTGTTCACATATAACTTAATGAAAAAAATCCAATGATTTTATTTCCCGACCTGAGTGTCCATAAAAACACCAAGAAATTAAACATGAAACGTAGGCTATTGTAATTTTTTGCATTGTTAGGTTGCATGAGTGTCTTCCATTCACCCTATATGAAATATAAAATGAGTCTTTCTCACAGCATGTTAATACTTAAACTGAAACAGTTGTCCCAATTCTTTTTTAAATGACAATATATTGGAAATAAACTAGTAGTTTCGCCACTATACATGTAACACTTTAATTTCATTGTAGGTTCACCCACAAAGATAAATATTCAGTGCATTCACCATTTCTGTTAGAACTAAAAGCCTCTTTTCCAGTACATTTATAATTTATGAGGGGAATCAATTAATTTACATGGCTGATTTGTTGTACTGCATCACCATAAACATTATTTTACATAAACTGATAGGAGGCAGATTCAAGTTTGTTTATATGACAAATACCTATATAAATCTTTGTGAATAAAATATACAGCCAATAAATAAATAAAAAAATCTGCCATTTTGCTTAAGAATTCAATTTAAATTCTCCTTGGGACTACATGTTCAAGGCCGTGGGATGGAGGTATGCTCATCTAAGATAGTTTTAGAGGACGTGCAACGTTTTTTGTTTTTTTTAAGAGTGGTCATTTTTGGATAGATTAAAAAAAATATTAATAATCAAGCCTTGGATTAATATCTGTATGTCAGAAGCAATCAGACAATTGCAATACGATTGAAACAGAACAGTGTTAACGCAAGGGATTATACATTGAAACATCCTAATAACCATCAAAGATGACAATACATGTCTGTCCTTCATGACTGTGACTGGGTAGATATGATTAAACCTTTGAAAGATGTGTCTGTTCAGTGTATGAAGCTAGTGTATTTAACAAATAACTGAATATGAACATTTTACAACCATTTAAAACAATGACTGCAACACTTAAAAACTAAACAGTACAAGCTTCATTACATCTCTTTTTTTATCATTTTTAGGATCAAAATAATAGAAAAAGGATTCCACAATACAATCTTCATACAAGTAACCCAAATAAAGGAGCTCTTAGATATAGAGGCAGGTTAAAAATCTTTAAAAAAAATGAAATTTAAAAACATGGCTTTGCTGACATGCACTGTCTAACATGCCTGTACAGTCTAGATGAAAACATCTCTCCCTTTGCATACAGAACAAGGAAGGAAGGAACCTTAAGTTCGACGTTTTTCTTTAAAAAGCACTCAATAAATAACACTGTAAAAAAAAAACGGTACAAAAAAGGGCTAAAATATATCTGCTGGCAGTTTCAATTTCATCAACATAAATCCCATCATCACATTTCCTTGGAATTGAGCAGAAGGAAAAGAATACATATTTTTTTGTTCTTTACATTTTTGCAAGGCTCCTAAATTCATTATTGCCGCATGTAAAACCAGAAACCTCTAATCGTGTTGTTACATTTCTCTGCTGTCACCCTGATACTTACAAAAAAATATACATGTTGGGTGAATATAATAAAAAAAGCTAAACTTATGTTTGTTTTGTTTTTTTCTTTACAACACTTTACATGACAAAAATGAATGCATGTGATTTCAAGTAAAATCTACATAAAAATGGCCTCCTGATCAGACACTCATTTGGGTAGTGGTGGAAGAGGGGGAGGCGGTTCTGAAGGCAGGGGTGGAGGTCTGGGATTGTTCCCTCTAGAGCCACTGGAGAACCGGTGGTCCCCGTACTGGGATCTGTATTCAAACATGGATGGCTGCGATGGCTGGACACCTTGCGCGCTCAGCAGTGAGTTCAGCATTTCAAAAGTGTCCTGGTACTCATTAGACTGGGTCCCACCTGCTGAACTGTGCCCATTAGTGTCCATCTTGTCCCCTTTTGAATGTGGGAAAGTACCCTGGTGGTGGGAAAGGCCCAGAGAAGGCAGAACGTCAGAAGCGTGACCCAGAGTTTGTCCAGATGAGGAAGACAAGGACGGCAGCTGGTAGGGGTTCCTGGAGGTCTTGCTAACCTTAGAGGCAGGGTGGGATCCTGCTAATGGATCTTGGGAATGTGTCCTCTTTCTGGAGCTGGAAGAGGATGAAGAACTTGATCTAGAGGAGTCACTTGGGATCTTTTTGCTGCTTCCCAGTGAACCACTGGAGCTGGATGAATGTTTGTGTGAAGAGGAATGATGGTGTTGATGGTGTTGGTGATGATGATGATTAGACCGGTCCCTGTGCTTGTCCCTGCTTTTGCCCTCCTCTCCCAAACCCCCCCTTGGCTTCTCCGGCACTCGGATTTTGACTTTAATGTCTGGATCCTGGCCTCTATCGCCATGCCCGCTGCTGCCGCCTACCGGCATCGGAAAACGCATTTTCAAATGTTTGTCGGAGCGCTCCTTCTCCAAAGGGATTTTCAGAACTATAGGTGAGGGGTTGATGTCAGAGGAAGAGGAGGAGCTGGACTGCTGGTGATGATGCTTCCTCTGCTGACCAATGAGAGCCTGAGCTGCATTGGCATACTCTCTCTTTACACTGGCCTCCATGTTCTCCAGCTTCCTCTTTTGGGCAGCCAGGACGTCAGCGTTCTTGGCCCGATATTCACTCAGTGAAACCTTGGCTGGGGTGTGGACCTCATTGTTGGGTGGCTGTTGTGGCTCAGTTCCAACCTGACCTTTTCCGCTCCACGTCGCAGCACTGCCTGGTACCGCCCGGTCCTTGTCACCCACGGACGAGGAAGAGGAGGCAGACGGCGGAGCTGAGAGACTCATCAAGCCGGCCACGGTACTTTCTGGCGACACCATGGAGATCATGCTGATCATGGTGTCCCTTTGGTCTCCCTCCTCCTGGACTTTAGGCTTAGCTTTTGGAGTTTGACCACCAGCCTACAGGTGAAGGAGAGCAGGGAAAGAAAGAACAAAATTGTAAATAAAAGTAAAATTGCAGAAAAGCTAATAGAAAATGTGTTGAGAAAAAAAAAAAAAAAAAAAAGGCAAAAATACCTTCCAGTTTCTAATTCGTTTCAGACGGCTGGGTGTTTTCTCCAGGATTTGAAGAAACTCATGGGTTAGCTCTGCAAAACATTATTAAGTTTAGAAATCTAAAAAAAACAAGTTCAGAAACAGACAGTTCCATTATTACAATTATGTTTTGTATATATATATATATATATATATATATATATATATATATATATATATACACGTCCGTCTTTGAGCCTAACCTGCCCTTTATTGGATGACAAACAAAACAGGATAAAATTCCAGCACATACCGTCCAGCAGCTCCAGGGTAACTGTGGGATCGACATACTCCCACCAGTGTTTTCCATCCGTAGAGACGGGGATTTCCCAGTTGGACCATTTGCAGGCAAGATGGATGCACACACAAGCGACAATAGGTGGACTATACTGCAGGCAAAACGTTGTCAAGTGTAGACTGGGTGGCATCATATATCCAGAAGAGGAACAAAAATCAGAGGGAGAAAAGAGAAAAAAAACATTTTTTTAACACAAAAGTAAAAATCAAAACTGCGTAATCTAAATGGCAGAACACTTGGAGCACATCTACAGAAGTTTTTTCACATTGAAACCAAAAAACTTTGAACGCACGTCACTGGGATTTTACACAATAGACCAAACACACAGTATGTTGACTTTTATAATGTCCCTCCCTGAATCTGTTTTTGTTTAAGTTCCCTTTGCTATCTATATATATATATATATATATATATATATATATATATATATATATATATAAAAACAAAACATCATTGTTATTCAATTAAATGAAAGCAGGACAGTCACTGCGACCACTTCCCCAGAGATATTCTGGTTTTAGGTTTAGTTTCAGTAGACAGGTTAGTTCATTGTCTTTAAACCTTTAAATCTAATACTGTTGCTTACTTCCTCTTTTTTTAATGCTTTCTTTTATGACATTATTGAACTGTTTTTAAATTGATATTTGACAACGAAACAATTCATTTTGATTTGATATGTAATTCAGTGCTTTAGCCCAAAACAGATTTTCCCATGGCAGACAACAAATACTTGTTCAACTGAATTTTTTGATCGGGAATTTTGGCACACTACTTAAAGTTATGGATCATTTATAGAAAAGCACCACTTATTCTATTATATAAAATCCCAGTAACTAACATTAAAGTTTGTTTGTATGCGACCAAAAGGTCACAGAGGCATGAATTAAAGGCACTGTAAATTAAGCTTTCGCATTTAAGTGTTCATATACCTGTTTGTGGCCATGAAGTATGATGTTTGGGCCAGATCCTTACTGGCTGGAATAACAGAAAGGAAAAACAAAAATACACTTAAACCTGGAAAAACCGTTTACTGTCAAAATAAGAATGTAAGCTCTCCCACAAACATTTATAGCAGGGGTCTGCAACCTTTACAATCCAAAGGGGCATTTCTGCCCCGAATCCAGCTGAGGAAAATCTTTTAAAGCCACACTATTTAAAGTACGGAAGAGTATTTTGCTCAATGAAAGAGAAAAATTTGAATTCTGACTCTTTCTTCCATAATGTACATTTTTTTTAACGGAGGGTATATTTTAATATAGTAATACTTTAGGAAAACTTTTTTCAATTATAAAAACAACATTTTAAGTCTTACTTTAGGTTTTAAAATGGAAGAAAAATATTAAAAAAAGATTAATACATTTGTTTTTCTTTTACTGGACAGTGAAAACCACATGAATGTAAAGCTGAAAGAACAATAAATATGGGGTTTTAGTAGCCTATCTGTATCTAAAAGCATTATGACTTCTTAAGTTAATAAGTGCCAGCACATTTGGTCCAAAGAGCCACTAGCGGCTCCAGAGCCACAGGTTGCAGACCCCTGATCCATAGCTTTAAATATGATACTCACCTCTAACAAGCTGAGTGCACTTGACAACATGAGTGTGAGGGTGATCAATTGTGATTTCAAAAGCTGGAATGAAAAGGTGACAAAGGGTGGAAGAGTTCAGTAAAGTGAACACAGAATATGGAATATGAACACATGAACCCTTTAGGCTTCATTAAATCCAGCTTCCACCCGAAACGTAACATTAAAGTCCCTGAAAATTCAGAAAATTTGTTTTATTAATCCCATCTCAAATTTGAAGTAATGTGTGGGGGAAAAAGCGGCCCTTCGTGTGAGAACAAGAGAAATAAGGAGCTGGTTTCAGTCATTTAACAATGATGTGGTTCCTTTTGACATAAAAGTCTCTTTCCAGTGCTGCTAACCACATTTGGTTTCTGTGAACATAAGTCAAGAAGGTTAGCTTTACAGTCTACACACGTTTCTGGAGAGAAACAAAGGGACCCAGTTGTTTTCTTTTTTTTTTTTTTTTTTTCCTCTAAACTTACCCAGGGTCTGGAGAATTATGCTCTCAAGAATGACCAGGTCTTGGGCTTGTTGCAGGTAAGCCTGAGGTTGAGAGGACAGGCATGTTACTCACTGGGAGGCCTCTAATTGATGTCAAACAAGAGGTACAGAACATGCTTTGTGGTTTTTAGATGTTTGCCTGTTTATCTGAAAGGCTTCAATCATTTAAACCGAGGATCGGGCAATAAGCACTTGACGCGGTGCCCCGTCCTACAACTCAACTCGTCTTTCTCGTTATCCTGAGGATGCCTTGCAGACTACATAATTACCACCACATAGCACAAACAGATACTCTTGTTTTACATCTGCTAGACATCACAATACCTGGGCAACCGAAACTTGGAGAGTTCTGTTTTCACTCTTCACTCCCAACCCATGCATCAAGCCTCCTAGATATGATTGGGCAAGAAATTTGTCCAACGCTCCCAAATAAAAATACTTAAATTCTGTAAATAAGACCTCAGATTTATTCTCTTCTTTAACCTGAGGCAGGAGTAAAAGATAAAAGTACCATAGAATTGGGGAAACAAATTTAGAATTTCAATGAGATTGCTGAAATTTAAAGCGAGAAAGGCCTTGTGCGTCATTATTACAGTTTGCAGACAAATTACAAAGAAGAGCCATTTTTGAGCCGAATTAAAACAAATATGTTCACAAACTCTATTTTTTGTGGATTTCCAGTTTAGCTACGTGGTCAGCCGACACTTACATCACTGCGTATGTCTGGTGAAGGCTCCTGAGGGTTTAAACATGCGTGTGCCACCTTGATTACATGCTCCAACTTTCTGGGCTGCTCCTCAACCTTTGCTGCGAGGAAAAGGGCAGCCGGAGCAATAACCTAAAGAAAGAACAAATTTTAAGCTCATCAGATTTACTTTAGTATTAGCCGAACACATAAAAAGAAAAACACAATACTTACATTTCGGTGAAACCTTGTAAATGACTGGACCATGTAAAACCGATGCATGTAGACAATAGCTGTATTAATAGTTAGTTGTGATCTGAGACAAGACAGTTAAGGACAGCTGAACACAAAAACAATGCAAACAATTTAGACAAAATAGGGTTTGTCTCTTATACAGTTTATTACACATCATCCCTTTTATATTTAAGTTAAAGCTCCCATAGCCTTTAATCTAACATAAACCACTATATAATACCAGCCTTTAAAAATACTATATCTGTTTACTTTGAAAGTGTAATGTCAGCTTCTTGAAATAGGCTGAAATTAGTTTTAACGACGGCTAAGAATATATTCCGAGATAGGAAGAACTTGAAAACACAAACAAAGCTAATTACCGTCAGCCGATTGCTAGAACATTAAGCAATACAGCTCAGACCTAAATCACAGCTCACATAAGTTATTATTAAGTTGTTAAAGACGGTCCATTTAAAACGTTTTTATGGATATTATAAGGTTACCTCCACTGTTTTTCCTTCTTTCGAATGACTAACACTTAAAGAGACAAAGCTAAAGCTAACCTTCTGGAGGCCTGTGGATCACACAGGCCATGCTAGCTGCGGTTAGCATGTTCGGCTGTTGTCGGGAAACATTAACAAGCCGGTAGTCGATTAAAATCCATAGTGTGGATGTTATACAGACATGAAACATAAAAACAAAGAGGAAGCTTCGTCAAGAACACCATAACAACTACATAAAATGACCAAATTATTGGTGGTACCGGCTTCGGGAGAAGCTAAACTTTGCTAGCAGTCGAGCTAACGCTAATGTTCGCTACGTGCGACGCACTACGACAAAAGATACACATTGAGCCGCTGCCCCATGTCCTGGAGGAGGTTCGCTGCCTGTTGTCTGTAGGACAGCTCCTTGTCGGGATCAAGTCCAGCTCGCCGAGATGGGCTGTTTTCGATCTGCTGGCGGGTGTAGTACCATTTGTTATTACAGGTTGAAGGGAGAGAACGAAACGAAGCCGCCATCACTGAGAAGGACGAGAGTTTAAAATTTCTCCGCGTCACAGGAACATACGTCACACACCAGGGGAGGGGTGCAGTCCCACTGATGAACAGCAGGTGTCTCTGTTAACCGCCTTGATTTTCAATTTATAGCCTTGTAAAACATACCTTAAAAGGTAAAGGATGTTTAACACTATAAAGTGCATGTTTATCTTATATTAATTTCTTGAAAATATAATAAAAACGCATTATTATTATTTGGTGTGCTCATATGTTATATTCATTATTCTATTTAACAAACAGAATCTGACATTCAACAGAAGCACAGAGGTATCAGGCTACAAAACACATAAAAGCTTTGCTATTAAAGTTTTTGCCTCCTAAATGTTTTTGAATATTTTTTTTGTCACATTAATCTTGCACAAACATTTTAAGGTCAAGGTCACATAGGGTATTTTGTGTAAAAAAAAAAGTTTTCAGAGGATTTCCATCCTTGGCTCATTTAAAAAAATAATTCAATACAATAAATAGTGGATTAACTGTGTTGACATGGTTTTATTTAGTTTCCCTAACCAAATGCTAGCCTTTTCATAGTCTGACAGGTGAAATTAAGAAGTCAAATAAATTGAGACCTTTTAAAATAGCTTTATCTAATCTTAAAAGAGATTATAGTGTCCAAAACCAATCAATCCAAAAGCAGATGAGAAACATCTTTGACATCTATTATGGAATGGATTATAAAACCTTAGCTTTGGCGTCAGGTGTCCAGGAAACACCAGTATTGTAAACAGAAAAACCCTTATTATGATCTCAAACAGTAAATATTCTCTTGTATTTTCAGCTTTAAGATACCTGGCGTCTCTTTTATATATGTTACAATGAACCGGGAGTCCAGCCTTTTGTGTTCAGCTTTTCAACTTTTTCTTTGTTCAATTCTAGCTAGTAGGGTACTTCTCCATGGAGACGTTTCTTTAACTTTTCTTTAACTGGAGCAATTGAGTCAATGATGTCCGAGGTTTCAGATTGAAAGTTATTTAGCATCAGCAACAGAGATGGGGGCAAATTGGAGGTAGAGGTCTTTTTGGCTGAGTCACTAGAAATTTTCCTTTAACCAAATTTTCAAAGAATATCACATGATTCTATTGCACTATTGCATCTTCAGGATTGTTAATGTACATTTTTAAAAAGTGTCGCAATAATTAATCAGTCATTATCAACACATATTAAATATGAAAGTTTGTTAAAATATTTAAGAATGTTTCAGAGCAGGCCCTTAGCAGAATAACCACCAGTTTGTGAGCTCAAGCCTAGTGGGATAGAGGAGAGAAATGACAGAATACCAGTTATTTCACATGTATAAAGTTAGACATGAATTTTGAAATGGCTAATCAATGTTTGGCTTAAATTCCAATTGAGATGCTGTGTTTGATCTTACATGGCTGAATAAAAACAATTCCCCAACAAAGAATGGGTTATTTCAATTCAAGAGGAAAAAATAGAAAACAAGACAGAAGATTTCAAAAATTCAAAACAATTTATTTTAAATTTCAAAATGTTATAAAATGGACAGATAACCTGAAGTAGTATCATGGTGCCTCCTCCATGACAAAGAATTAAAAGGCTGTGTGCTAAATCAAAAGTACAAGTAAATTAAAACAAAATAAACATACAAGGAAACATCTTGTCACCTGAAATTTAGTAAACAACCAGAAAACTGATTTTTCAAGCCATGAACAAAAGAACGTTTTTCAAATGAACCATTTGCTGTTTAGCTACACTGGATGATGTCATAAAAAAAATTCCTGCAACTGTCTTTCAGAGTAATGAAATAATGTCTTAATGTGGCCAAAAACTGAACCTGAAAACAACCTTTAACAGAACTTTTCCTAATCTGAGGCCACTATCATCGCTCAACTTCTATGCAGCACTTTTTTTAAATTAATAATTGGCTTGGGTCTAAGAAATATAACCAGTTCTTAACATGAAAAAGCTGCAGGAAATAAAATGTTTATTGCTGCATAATTTTTAGTTTAAAAGAAACAAAAGAAGTTGGTCTATGCATCAAAATTTTATAGCGAGTAAAAACAGATAAATACAGTATTAGCTTTTAGCCTTCTGGGAAAACAGTCATTTCCAGAATCCACCTCTCAGATATGACCTTGCATTTAAGTGTACCTTTGATTGATAAAATTCCAGTCGGTGAGACTTTATCGGTTGTACAGCCTTAAACAAAACACTACAAAAAAAAAAAAAGAAAAAAAAAAGACAATCATCTTTTTAAACATTTCCAAATCTCTCTGCACGCTTCATCTTCTTTGCCTGCAGAAAAAAAAAATCCCAGGAGTGGTGGCATTAATAAGCAGATTGCTTTAGGGAATTTTCTAAAGGCTGCAGATGAAAAACCAAACTCTACCTCAACGTCCTCTCCTCCAACTGACGGGGCGCTCGTTAAGATCCCAAACCTCTCCTTTCTCTTTTTCAGCTTTTCATCCTCCACAATCTAAGTAAAAAAGAAAGAGGGTTTCAAATGAATAATAAAAGGCATGAATCCATGAAAACTTGCTCAAAAGTACTGTTTGAGAAGCATGCAAGCAGGTTAACTAAGCTTTTAACATTTTCAAGCATTATTCTCCAACAGATTTATTTATTTTTTAAAGATCCAGAATAATTGTGAATATTGAAGTGTAAAAAAATATAAAATATCTCCTGACGGTGTCCTTAAAAACAAAAGATCTGCTGTGTATGCCAAAGTTGAGTGTTGAAAACTGAAATGGGAGTTCTTCCAGGAACAAACTTTATCACCTTTTGTGAAACTGAGGAAACGTTCATGCCGAATCTTTCTGCCCGCTTCTTAAGCAGGTCAGCGCTCACCTAAATTAGACAAAAAAAAGCCGTCAATCAAACTTCATCTCTGCATCAGCTGGAGCCTCAATGATAAGCAGAAGCAGGAGGATGCTTGTGAAAAACTTACGCCAGTTTTGCTGTTTGCAACAACGCCTGTTCAGAAAAAAACACAAATAATAATTATACATTATGAAAAGTGCAGATGTTTTCATTTTATAGCACAAATTCACTGGAGAGAAGCTGAAAAAAAAAAGATTCCTGTCCTTCTCCAGAATGCAAATTAGACACAATAAGGTTTATTACAAACTATTAAAAAGATCAAGACACTGAAAATTATCCACTATTTTTTAATTATTTAAAGACACAAATTAAAGGGCATATACAAAGAGTCTGCATTTCTCCTATGATCCAAAATATTACAGCATTAAGTACAAGAACTGAAAAATAGGGTTTGCCTGCACTCTGGGTCTCTGAGCAAAGATCCTTAACCCCACACGGCTCCCCAAGGGGATGGGTTAAATGCAGAGAGTTAATTTTGTTGCTCTGTACTTGGGACAGTATAATGACAATAAAAGTTGGAGGAAAAAATTTATTTTATGTTTTTTAAGTCTGCTCCTAAAGGTGCTCAATGTTTTTCTTTCTTTAGTACATCAGAATTAGATGTTTGTTCAGCAAAGGGCCTGTTAATCACACAGGAGGGGAGGAAGTAAGGAAAGCTCTATAACATCCAGGGCAGCGTACCTTAAAGCACAGAGTTGAAGAGCACTGCTTTCTCTGATTTTTTTGTGATTTAGTTCCTTATGAACAGATTTATGCAGGTTTAAGGAAATATTTTTCCAGCACTGCAACTAATTACCATTTTACTAATCAATTAATCTGTTCATTGTTTATTTCAATACATTAATCAGTAATCAGGTAGCAAAACATTCTTAAAGATCACAGACTTTAAACCAGGTGAAACATTTGGTAACTTCTGGATAGAAGATACAAACGGACCAAAAGGTTATTTTTTCTTAAAGGCAAAATTAGTCTTTCGTACACAAATATATTTTAAATGTTTATTATTATTTTTTTCCCCTTTTTTTGATACTTTTTTGGTACAATTTCTCCTCTGATGGGGTCGCTTTGTCAGCTAAAGGCATAATCTCTATACAGTCTCTATACTCCAATTAACCAATTACTAAATTATTTGACTATTATTTCAATCATCAAATAAACATTAATTAATTATTAATTAATTTATTAATTAATCCAATTGATTGTTTTAGCCCTAATAATTTCCAATGTGTCTATGAGACCTCAAATAACTACTTACTTTTAACGATTTCTGAGTAAAATTAAATAGCTGAAGGTTTGCCATATCATTTGTTACATCTAGTGTTCACAGCGACATACCTGGGGACGGGCTAGAAGAATCGGACGGCATGCCAAACCTGGGGAAACAAAGCAGAGGGTAAAGTCAGCAATATTTAAATAAACTGCACTTATACAGCACTGTTTATATAGCACAGATAAAACCACAATGTGCTTCACAGACTGCAAGTTAAATAAGTCTGAATATAATATAAATATCAAACAAAGAACTCAGAAATAATAAAAACAATGAGATGGTATCATTAACAGCTTGTCGGGGGGAAAAAAGTAATTATAAATTTTTTTAAAGAATCAACATTCGCCCACACAGAGATAGGTCACCAATAGTTTTGAACTGGATTTTAGGAACCAAAGAAAGAACAAGAGATCAACATTTAAGTGATGTATGGAGGGGCCTGTTAATTAATGTCAAAATTGAGCGATACTGTAGCGCTGTACCTGGATACAAAACTCATTAGGAATGTATCCATAATACAATTGCTATTGCTTTTCTACATTTCTGGGATATTCATTGAACTTCGGTCTGGGATTCTTTCGAGAAGGCGTTTCTCTGTGGGGAGATTGAAAAAGGGGAGCCTTTCAAGTTCATTTGTTTTTCATGCCTTTAACTATTTGTCCTTTTTATCCAAGTGGTATTGAAAAAGGTATCGAGTATCAAATATTTTCTGCTACTTTTAGATGTAACCCTTGCTATAAACACCTGAACTACCTCCTAAGAAGCAGTAAAGTTCTGCTAATGGGGCCAATTTGAAGTCAGATGTGTCAAACCTGAAACGCATTTAAAAGTTAAATGATTTAAGTTCCAGACCCCTGACTTAAAGGATCAATAGTTTCCCTCCTTTTCAATACAAACAGCTGTCAACTAAAACGAGAGCTACTTTTGTTACCTTAAGAAAATGTACATGCTTAGCAAGTCATTTAATAAAATAGCAATAGCTTTTGAATCCCTACACAGAAAGAAGCAACTGTAAACGGGCACTTGCGGTTTTTAAATTTTATCTCAATTTATGTTTTCTACCCACAGTAACTTCTCATTGACAGATCCAATTCTTCCAAATTCTAAGCTTTGTGTCGTAAAAAGAATGAAGGAAATAAACGTTTACAGTTAAGACAACAGTATTAGAACTATAGTGAGCAAACATAATGTGATGTAAAGTTGGAACTCACCTTGCTGCACGTAAGGCCTTCTTGCTCTCAGCTGATGCTGGCACATTAAAACGCTCAGCTCTTTTCTGTAGTCTCTGTTAAAAAAGAAAAGGTACGTTAAGATCATAATTCCCAGGAAAACCCACCTGTTTTATGCGTCTTCCCCCGAAATTGAACTTTTAGAGCAGAGAGGTGCCTTTTATCTTACGTCTTGAAGACCCAGCTTACCAGGCCTACCCTCCCCCTTCTGCCGCATTACATCTTAGACAACCTTTATTGTCATTTTGTATACACTGTGTGTAAACAAAACAAATTTTTGCTTAGTACAGTTTTCAGAAAGTAAATGAACATTTCCATTCCAGAAAGTTCAGCAGTGATCAAATGTAAACAGTGTGGGAGAAAAAACACAGTGCAAAAATGCATTGATATGGAAGTTCAGAGTATTAAATATAAGTGGGGCCAATATGCAGTATTTTTGGTTTGGTGTTATCACTGTGATGCAGAGTCTGTGGCTGGTTTAGAGTTTTTTTCAGCTGTCTGATGGCGGTGGGGAAGAAACTGTTGCAGAATCTGCTGGACCCGCAGCAGATGCAGCAAAGCCTATTCCCTATTCTATTCAGCAGGAAAACACTCCTTTGTACCCCTCCCCAAATCAAACTGATGTGCTGACTGACTTTTACAATAATCTGTTACAACTGTGCATAGAGGTAAATTTAATTAAATGTTAAAACTTTGAATGATGGGTAACGCTTGCAGGACTTTTCCACCACCATGCAGCCCTATACCTATACAGTGAATTCCATTAGATGAAACAGAAAAGAAAACTTTAATCATTCTAAATGAGAAGACATACCTCACTGGCAGATAATGGAGGAGATATTTTCACCACCTTCTTCTCAGCAGGCCTGGAAAACAAAACAGAATTTTAATCAGGATATGCAGCTTTTAGTTTATCTCTTCAGAAACCCTGATTCCCCAAAAGCAAAGACAGACATATCTCTTATAACAGAGAGGAAAGTTCACGAAAATGTGAAGGAAAAAGATTTGTGCAGACTGTTTTGAGATACTTACGGCTCACTTTCAATCGCTTCAGAACCATTGTTCACATTTATGGGCTCAGTGCTCTCCACTTTACCAAAGTCCTGAATAAAACAGAAACCTTAACTCAGATACAGACGTATAGGAGGCAGAGTAAAATATCACATAAGTAGTAGTCCTTTTACCACAGAATCCTCAGCCAGGACTTCGTCTACATCCACGTCTTCTTCTGTTGTTCAAACAGTGAAAAAAGACATAAAGGACACAAAATGACATTAGCAAGTTTATAGTGATAAAACTATGAAGAGAGAGATTAACCCCGACACAGTCAGCAAACTATAAAATAAACAGGGCTGGGACTATTAACAGGATTACATAGTCCATTAAATTTACTTTAGCTAATTTAGTTAACTGAGTATACAGACAGTAATACTAAACAGAGATGTTCATTCTGCTGAAAGAACAGCTGTCTTAGAGAACTAAATAATCCAAAAGTGTCAAGAAATCTGCCTTGCTTTTAGAATAAAGAAACTTTAGCTGTAAATTTCTACAGAACTCTTCAAGATCCGAAGTCATTTAGAATGTTTTTAGAGCATAAACAGCAGTGTATAGGATTTCCTAAAAGCGCTAGCCTGCGAGTTCACGAGTCTACGGAAACTGTGGCAGACCAAACCAGATGAAAGTGCGCATTCAGCTCGGCAAAGAACTCATGCTCTTCCTCAACACTGAAGTCCTCAGACATTTTTCTTTCGTTGTTTCTTTCTTTGCACAGGTAAACAGCACATTTCTTCTTCTACGCTTGCATTATCGGCAGAGCAGACGCTGAATGCGCACTTTCATCTGGTTCGGTCTGCCGGCTTCCGTAGCGTCGTGAACGTGCAGGTGCGCGCTTTCAGGAAATCCTATACACTACTGTTTATGCTCTAAAAACATTCTAAATGACTTCGTTTTGAGTAAATTATGGACGCTACCCACTCAGGACACTTGGAATACATTGGACGAGCAGTATGGAGGAATATTGACACGTTTTTTGTGGACTTTTATGGACCTTTCTGTCTCGGTCACCATAGACCTCCATTATTTGAATGTCAGCAGACAGCAAGAAGCCTCCCAGATCTCCAGATGCATTTGAGATATCAAAAAAGTACTCCAGAGTGTTGTTCAGCATGGGGGTGAGTAGAAAATGAAGGCTAATCATGTTTTGGGTGTACTATTCCTTTAAGGGATTTTTTGGTCGTCATATTTTTTTTGCTTAAATTAAATATTGAAAGAAAAAACAGATAATTTATTTCTAAGACAAATGGCCCAGCCCTGGTTAGTCTTTGAGAAACATTTGTAACCAACATTCTTGGTTTCTCTCTTAAATTTTTTTTAGTCAGCGTTTGTTTTGGTGAAAGTAGATCTTACATTTCTATAAGTACGCTGAGGTCTGTTTGTGATTTTTGACAAAGCATTGGGGAAGTTCTGGTGTTACAGCAGCGAAAAGATTATAGAAAAAATTGTCACACACAAATATGGACCTTGGAGAGTTAATGGAAAAAAAAATACTGTACTGTAAAGTGTTTTAACAATATAAACATAGCAATATTAACCTTATTTTCATAAATCCCTTCAATTATTCAATCAAAATGTTGCAATGTCATGTTTCTTTGATGTAGTTCAGTCCTAGTAGTAATCCTGGAAACATGTCTTTACAACTGCTAAATATTACAATGTGAACGGTGCTTAGCCTCACCATGTTCGTCCAGATAGGCTTGGAGTCGGGCAATCAGATCTCCTTTATTTCCCTTGGTCTCCAGACCTCGGGCATCGCACTCTTGCCTCAGTTCAGCAAGCTGCAAACAGATGTGTTTTTTTGTCAACATAGTAAACAGCAGTGAATAAAAGTAAATGTTGAGGGTCATGATTTCTGAAGACCCCAACAGGAATCAGAGCAAAAACCTGTAGAAACAGCATAAATCTACACAAATGCAGGGCATATAACATCTAGGACGGAATTTTGACTTTTATGTGAAAAAATCTCTCTATACTAGGGCTGAAACAATTAATCACGATTAATCAAATATTGAAATAATCATCAACTAATTTAGTTACTAATTAATTGTTTACTGGAGTATAGAGACTCTAAAACATGCTTTTAGCTGACAGAGCAACCCACTTAGAGCAGTAATCATATCAACATTTTGCATTTAAGATAAAGACATTTTTTCCATATGCTCTAACGAGAACTCCTGCAGTGGAAAAGTTTTAGTTTCACCTGGTTTAATTTCCTAAAAAATATTCTTTAAGGACCCTTTGGCTATCCGAGAAAATAATAGACAGATTATCAGGGAGCTGGCTCAGAGCTCGTCTGCCTGGCTGTGTGTTTCCTGGACGGGGCCACCTTTTACAGCTGCTTTTCTGTATCTCTGTTTCTGTTTCCTTGAACCCCAGTCGTCCTCGGCAGATGGCTGCTTACACTGAGCCTGGTTCTGCTGGAGGTTTCTTCCTGTTAAAAGGGAGTTTTTCCTCTCCACTGTCGTTACAAGCATGCTTAGCGTGAGGGATTGCATCCGAGTCAATGAGTCGATGCAATTACCGTAACTGGTTTTCCTTAGATAGAAAACTTTGAATCCATTTGATTGTATGATCTGGTGAATTGTAAAGTGCCTTGAGATGACATGTGTTGTGAATTGGCGCTATAGAAATAAACTGAATTGAATTAATCAATATGTAAATTAATTGTAAGTTGTAGAACTAATATATACATTAATACCAACAAAAATGAAAAACCTGAAGAAAATGGTAAAGAACTAGATCACAAAGTGCTTTGCTTTAAAGGTTTGAAAGGCAGGTGTGAATTCTGTCTGTGTGAGTTTTTACATAATGCACCATCAGATCTCTCATTGAAATCATAACTCATATCTAAATTACATCACCTTTATGAATCAAGATTTAAAATGATATTAAGGGAGTTTGGGATGTATGGATAAAAATGGGTACGAAATTAGGAAAACAAAGTGGCTAGTGAGCAACTCTATCTAGAGCAGCCTCTTATAAGATAAATATATGGAACATATTCAATGATGGTTATTATTGGACTAAAAAAGAAGCCTAAAATCAAAAAATAAATCCTACAACATTTTTCATTATCAATATTGACATTTACTATGCTACATTTTCATCAATTATTTTAAAGGTGTTCTCAATTTTAGATTTAATTCACGCGCAAACGTTCTAAAGTGTATTTCCAGAGTAAAATGATGTGGGTTTTATCAACTTTAGACCGGCACAATATTTATTATTACTCAAATTTAGCTCTAAGTTGATTATAATGAAACAACTGAGAATTGCTTTATCCATTGGTTCTTATGGAAATATTTTTTCTGGTAGAATTTTAAATCCCAGTATTTGTTCATTCGTCTCCTGCCTGGCTAATTGTTAGCAAGCGCTCATTGAAAACACGCCGGTCGGAGCCCTCACAGCGGGAGGATCCTTTTAACCCTTAAAAATCTTTATTTAGCCATAACTCCGGGATATGCTTCCATGGTCAAAGCTTATACAACGCATTCCCCGCTTATAAACCCAGAAAATGAAAATAAAATACACATTTAAAGCTTAAACCAACCTTCAATTTCTGCAGTTCTATCACTTCGGCCATCTTTTTCTGTGTATGCTCCACTTCCTCCAATCAAACAGAAGCTGCTCTCCTTCTGAACTCGACGGTGGGTTGACTCCTCACAGCGCCCCCTGCCGCACATGGCGGTTGGTAAACAACTTTTCGGTGTGCATTACCGCCACCTACTGGTGAGGAGTGTGAATCAGAATGTCCCTATTCATAAAGACTCTTGTATTTATTTATCTATATATCTCTCTATATAATATTACTTATATATATTATTACTATAAATATATAGTAAATCCTCCTAATTATTCCTGTTAATATTAAATATTTATTAAATATTGATAAAATGTTTTGACCTTTTCTGCAGAATATCTATCAAATTCAATTTTACTGTCTCCTTATTTAGGTCTCTAACCAAATTCTTCCTTTCTTCTTCATACTTCTTACAACACGTTCTACTTTTTTCGTCTTGTCCACAAAATTCCCATTTGCCTGATATATGTTTCCCTATTTTGAATAATGTATTATTTAATGCCCAAATCTAAGTCTTGAAATAACTGTTTCCTCTCTTCTGCTTCCTTCTGCTATCCTCATTTCTCCGACTTTCCGTTGAATCCTATAAAGCCATCTTCCTCTCCTTTCTTCTTCCGATTGTTTTTGCCACCTTTCCTTCATCCTTTGTTTAATGATACTCTTAATTTCTGTCTTACTTAAGTTAATCATCATTTCAAGGGTTTTATTTTGTGATGCTTCCTTAGCAATCTTGTCTACAATTTCATTTCCTTTAATCCCTATATGTGCTAAATTAGCTGATTATTCAGTCATTTTTTCATTTGAGTGTTGATTTGAACAATAATGTAATTATACCCAGTTGTAGATAATAGGTTGATGAACAAACAAGTCTAGATTTTTTAATAATTATTTGCACAAGTGTTGACTATCTTAAAACAAAGCCAAAAAAATAAAAAAAATAAAAGCTTTACCATATCATTTTTGTACCATCTGTCCATAGCTTATATATTGCCTTAGAGTTCCTTTCCCACATATCAAAATAATTCCAGATATCAAATATGCAGGCTTTTAAGTTTGGTGTGTGCTCATTTTACCGGTTGCTTCTGCCTCTCTCCGTACAACCCTATCTTTTTGCATCTTCTTTTTCTTTAATATGTTTTGTGTATCTTGTTAGGACAATTATTTTATTACTCCTTGGTATTGGCTGCCTGTTGTGTGTCGGAACTGATGTTTTAATCTAATTAAGACAGTTCTTCTGTCTGGATTTACAGTTATAATCTTCATTCTGTATGTGGCAAAGATTTCGAAATGGAATGAGAGAGGTGTCCTTTAGCTAAGAACGGAGTGTAATATTTTGATAAGGCTGGAGCCAAGGATGTCTAATCATCTACTAACAAGTATGATGTAAAATAAGATGATGTGGCAGACTGGAGATGTATAAAATGTCTTTTTAACTGTTAATCGGAGCCACTTCCTGAGAGGTGAGCCTGGAGGTGAGCAGCTGCCTCTTGTACATTCTAAGCAATTTCCCTAATAAGTAAGATTAAGAAGAAGTAAGAATAATAGTAAGATTACAATTTCTATCAGAATCTTTTGTCATGTCTCCTGGTTATTCAATACATATAAGTTATGAAATGTTATTTAAAGAGTTTTTCTCAAGTGATCTCTTTTCAGGAAAAAGAGTGTATCCTTTGTAATGCTTTACGTATTAGTTTCCATCTCAGTTACATGAGTTCATTACTCACTCAGCAAATGGACAGCTTTGCATTCTGCACGCACACAAATTTGATTTGCAACTAATGAAGCCACAAACAAAATTCCTGTGTTTACAAGGGAAGATGTCCATCGTCTACATCTGGAAGTGGAGAGGTGGACTGATGGATCTCTCTATGTGTCAGAAATCGGTCCTGTCAGTAACACAGTGCGTTCCTCAGCAGAATGTCAGGAGCAACACACCAGGGCAGGACTTGCTATGAATGCCTGCATTGTTTGAAAAGAGGTTTAAATAGCTCTGTAGTTAGGCATATGATACGAAGATAATAGAAAGCTTAATATTGTGACTTTTAAGTTTTGTGGTTTGGGACAAAGCTGGAGGAATGTAAAGAGTCACAAGTGGCTCAGTAATCCTCATTAACTTTTACATTCCAATTTTTTTTTTTTTACCTAGGGAATGTGTAACTCATTGTTCAAACAAAATAATAACCTCCTGCTGTGCGCCCAACTCTTACAGACAGACTAATTTTCTCCAAGTATTAAAGCATTAGATGAAGCTTTTGGTAGTCTGAAGACTTTCGACATGTGGAGAACTTAAAGGCATTTGGAGCGATTCGAATTCAGAAAATAAATCTGGCCGTAATTAGCGCTAATCAGAGAGGCTGACCAAAGTGGGTCAGATGATTGTAGAAGAAAATGTTTTACACTGTACTGGAAGGTATCCATACATGCAAACTTAACCATTACTTAAATATTCCCTTGTCAGAGATGGCAAAAGTACTCACTTTCCGTACTTGAGTAAAAGTACAGATACTTGTGTTAAAAAATACTCTGGTAAAAGTGGAAGTACTGATTAAACTTCTTTACTCAAGTAAAAGTAACAAAGTACAGGCTTGTAAATTTACTTAAAGTATAAAAGTAAAAGTAGAAACCACTTTTTTCATGCCGTTGCCTACATTTTAAATGGATGTCTGCCGATAGGACTAGATCTCCGTTGTGTTCATTTTCAATCATCTCGTCGTCCATACTACTATGCTAACGCCACCGCCACCAAGCTGCAATGATTTGCTGCAAATGAATACCGCCGAATCTGTCGATTCATCTTGTAGTGGTGCGTCAAATTCAATTAGATTGAATTTGGTATTGATGACGTGAAAAATAATAACAGTAACTTCATTGAAATGATTCAAAAACTAAAGTAACGAGCCAATTTTTTAAAATGTAAGGAGTAGAAAGTACAGATATTTGTGTAAAAATGTAAGGAGTAGAAGTAAAAAGTCGCCATAAAAATAAGTAGTAAAGTAAAGTAAAAATATCAGAAAAATCTACTTGAATACAGTAACGAAGTATTTGTACTTCATTACTTCCCATCTCTGTCCCTTGTTCATAACCATATGTGTATATTTATATTTTTGCTTGTTATAGTATAATAAAAATGTGCATAGACTAAGCAAATCATCCCAGAACAATATTTATAGACTAGGATTTTTTTCACACATCTTGTAAAATTTTATCCACACATTGTTTTAAGTATATTTAACATGACATTTATGAGACAAACCAGAAACAGAGCAGGCTTTGAAAACATATATTAAAATGAACCCTTTCACAGATTGACTTGCATCATTTTTGCTATTGAATCTTAGCCCAATAGCTCCCCAGCTATGTCAGATCAGCTCGGAACATCAGTTTTTAAGTCTTGCTAAAGATGTTTGTATCTTTATGGCTGTTGTGAACCCACATTCTCAAGCCTTTGCAACCTTTAACCCAGGGGTAGGTAACATTGGTCCTTGAGTGCTACTCTCCTGCTGCTTTTGCATGCATTCCAGCTCCAACACACCTAAAACAAAAGGGCACATAACCTCCTTGGCATGTTGGTAAGTTTAGCAGAGGCCTGGCCATTAACCATTCATTCGTTTCAGGTTTACAAGTGACAGTAAGCTAAAAGTGCAACACTTTACCATCTAAATTTATCTAGATTTAATTCCATCCATCTACTGACCAGTTTCCCTCTGCCTGATGGAGAAATGCATCCCCACAGCATGACACTCCCACTACCGTGGGGCGAATAAGTGGTGTGCAGTTGGTTTTCTGTCAGATGTTGTTTTGCATGTTGGCCAAAAAGTTAAGACTTTTGTCTAATCTACATGTCATCAACATGATGTGAGGTAAAAACTGTTGTGTCATTTCAACTTATTTTTGCCACATAACAACAAAGGACAGATTTGTGTTCTGTGGTGATCCTGTCAACAAGGTCTTTCACCAGTGCAGCTGGTTTCTGCAGGTCCCTAAAGGTCATCGTGGACCACTCAGCTCCTACTTTGACCTATAGATGCAGCTTGTTTCTCTTTCTTCATTATGGTGCTTAACGTTCTTTACCAAATCTCTTATGATTTCATTAAACAGCTTGTTTTATGCTGAGATTAAATTATTCTCTGTCAGACTGTAGATAGTTCGGTGATTTTTCAAGGCAGTTAGATGCATTTGACTTTATCTAATGTGTTTTGCATTGAGAGCTGTCTTTTTCCAAAACCAAAAATCCTCTCTCCAAAGAAGTAGAAAAAAAAAAAACGTTTTTAAGTGTTAAGTAGTAAACTAAATAAAAAAAATTAAACTACTACTTTTTTTGGAGGCTACACAAGATCTGGAACCACAGGATCCAAAAAGGTGCTTCTTGTTTATCATCCTGCTTTCCTAGATGTTGGCTTTTTAGCCTCATTCATGGCATTTACCCGTCGCCCCTCAGTGGAAATTGGACATTTTTGTGTGAATATATGACGCTTTGTCTGCTGCCACAGTAATCCTCCAGAGCTACATGCACTGTAAGTAGACAAAGCCTCAGATCTTGCCAGATGGGGGTTCTGAGGGGGGGTTCAGGTGCAGCTTTATAAACACCTCAGGGAGTTTATAAAGGCATGCTTTAGGCTGCCTCCTGCTCAGTGGGGGACGTGTCAGAGGGACGAGATGATGTGGACGTCCACTCTTCTGTTGCTGCTTTTGACAGTAACTCCACAAACTTGGGCAAGTAAGTACAGACAATTATTCAGTTATTTTTTTTTAAAGGAATTTACCTGAGATAAATCTATTCCAATTTAGAATAAAACAATCGAAAGAAATGAAGGAAATGTTATTATTTGGTATGAATCTGAAACTGCAATCATTAAGAGATCCAGACATGATATCATAGAGATTCAATGGCTGGCCATAAATGTTTCCACTTACCAGGCATTATATGTCAAATTGCCATCAGAAAATCCTGGGTGATAAACTAATGTTGGGGGGATTAGGCATTTCTATGACTATCATTACAGATGGAGGACCAGATAAATATACTTTTGTTCATTCATTAGAACTGCCGCTAATGATCAACATGTGTTTAACTATTTATTTGAAAGACAGATATGGGGAAAGTTATTGCTCTGTGTCAGGTTATTGTTAAGATAAAGCCAAGGTGGAAAACAAATAGCAATCAGAAACTGTCAAGAACATTTTGAAAGATATTGAAGATAACAGCCAATCTTTCTAGGAATAGAAATCCCAGTAAATTGATCCAAACAATGAACAAATCATAAAAATCTCCTTCTAAGTTGCTACTGTCCTCGATTAGCATTTGTATTGTTCCAATTCCCAACAAGATCAATGTAACTAAATAATCATAACTTGTTTGGAATAACTTCCAGGAAAAAATATCTTCTCTTTTAGAAAAGAATATAACAGTTTGGCTCAGGTCTGCTGTGTTTTATCTAACTAAAGACTAAATGTCTGGCCACAAAACTTCAGTTCTATGTTTGGATAAAACCAAACGTATTCCAGACGCCACCGTCGGGCCATCTCTCCAACAATGATCCTAAACACAACAGCTAATCTACTGCAGAACAAAGGAAATAAACATCTAGGTGTTGCAATAGTTCAGTCAACACACAGACCTGAGTTTGACTAAAACCCTGCAATGGGACCTTTAAACATTTTGGTGGAAATATCTGCAAAACTCAGTGAACTAAAGCATCTTTGTAGAATAACCGAACCTCCTCCATAGCAATGTAACAGATATGAGAAAGAACATGGTCACCATAAAATGACCCAAAATCAAATCCAACATGTTTCTAATCATGGTGACTAAAAACAGCTTTATATTGGGGTTTTCCACTTGATATGATCACCAGCGTCTCCCTTTCCCTGTCGTCCTTTTAATTATCATAGCAAAACTTTTTTATTTAGACTGAGTTCTATTTCTAGGTTGGGTAATTCTGCCCCAAAACACTGTTAATCTGTAATATAATCCTCCACACACTCAGATTAGCATCACATGAGAGAGATTGGTACCATGCGCTTTCATTGCTGCTCAAATAAATTCACTCCGACTCCTTTCATGCACGGGACAGAGTTTGTAAAATCAACAAAATCAACAAGTAGACTTCAAGAAAAAATTTAAATACGGTTGTATTCAAGGTAATCAGTGTGCTGGTTGTTTATGTTTTAGAGACTAAAAACCGCTTTACTCGCTTCCCATCATGGAACAATAAATTGTACCCAACCTGGAAAGATGGTGACCCACGATATCAAGACTCCTGGAAAGGTAAGCTGTAAGGATTTGAACTGCACACTCACACCTGCTCTTTAACATCTGTGCAGCACTGATAGAAAAATATTCCCATCTGTTTTCTTGCAAAGGTGGAAAGGTGACCTTTAATGTTGGAAATGATTCACCAACACTGACTGGAGCCAAAGTCACGTTCACTATCGACCTTCAGTTCCCCCACAGCCAAAAGGTGCTGCCTGGTGGAGACGTGGTTTGGGCTGAAGACTGTGTAGTCAATGGTAACAAACATACACAGTTGGTTATATTTGTACCCAGTAGTCTAGTTGTAAAAAAAAAAGAAAAAAAAAAAAAGAAAGAGGATGGTGGATTTTTTTTTAGGCATACATAGCCTAGTTAATATAATCTATTAACCTAAAGCAATTTGCATGTTATGGTTGTTACATGTCAGGTGCGCCAGTCATTGACCTTAACCAAGGCATCATACAGTAAAACTGCAGTCAGTCCCTGCACTGGCATGGCTATAAATATGTATATATTTATATATATATATTATTATTGTTTACTATTATGTTAAAAGGAATGACCAGATCCATGTGCAAGAGCTTGGACACAAGAAAGGGTCTGACCTCAACCTCTTTGAGTGTTAAGATGTGGAGGGAGTGAATACAGATAGACATAAATCAACATTTTAAGATACCTATTTATAAATAAAATTATAATTGACACATTATTTCCATCTCAGCAAAACGATAGTTTGTGTTGATTTTTGATACAATCCAAACTAAATACATTTGGGTCTGTTGTAACCTTTTAAAAATGTGTGTTTTTTAGGTTAAATGGTAGTGAATACCTTTGCAAAAAAAAATAATCAAAAAATCCATTCATCAAGACTGCACAGACATTTTGAATAGGATTTATGTCTATAATAAAAATAGCAATAAATAAAATAAACATTTCTTAATAACGATCCAAATCACACTAGTCATTACAATTATACATCACAACAATGTGTGTTCTCTTCATTTAACCCATCCCTAAAGAAGCTGGAATTTACCTTCAAATCATGTCAGTGAACTCATTGAGAAATCGAAATAATTAGCAGCTGAAGCATTCGTTGGAAATAGAGCAGTAAATTGCTCCATATGCAAACCAGGGATTGCAGATTGACTTGCAAAGTGACATGTTTACAATGGCCACTAGAGGACGTAAATGTGGAGTTATGTGATTTATGCTGAAGATAATAGAGTAGAATAGAATTGAATAAAAGGATCTTGATAAAGCTTGGAAAACACAATTTCTCCACTTTAAATATGCCAAAGACCTTTAGACACATATAAAAACATAAAAAGCACGCTGTCAAAAGTGTGCAAAACTAATTCTTATTGAAACTTGCTTCAAAGGAATATGGAAATGCTTTTTTTTTTGAGTGGCTTTTGGGCTAGAGGGACTTTCGACTCTCTGTCTCTCTGCTGGGAGCAGCTTGAAAGATTAGTAGAAGCAATTAAAAAGATCTTGTGAGATTAGGGCGGCTTTCCTGATCCCAAAAAAATAAGGTTTGAATAGAACCAATTTTTTTTTTTCTTTTTTTTTTTTTTTTTAAGCTTTTTAGGAGGAACTGGTTTGGTTTGTGATCCGGAACAGTTTGGTTTTGTGTTACACTATGAGAAAGAAGTGTCAGGATAAAATGTTGGAAGTGATGACAGATTCAATGAGTGATTTAATCAGTTATAACCTTAAACTAACTCTTGATCACAGGTCTTTAACTCAAAGCTGATCAGCTATAAGTGGCTCTCTGAACTTATTACAGCGATTCTAAATAAATGAAATGTATTTATTTATAAAAGTACCAGCTATTTTTTTTATTAATTTAAAAATAAAATCAGGTTTTGGTGGTTAATTTATTTTTAACAGAATTGTTTATTTTAATTTCTACAAAAGATTTACTCTAAAATTCCAGTATTCTTATATTATGTTTAGAATTGTAATTAGGTAGAAAACGTCATGTTTTTTCAACATAATTTTCCACCAAAATTAACACCACAGGCAATATCTACGGAAGATGATTAGGGCCCCTAAAAAAAAAAAAAAAAAAAAAAAAAAAAAAAAGTTATCCGATTTTTTTTAAATAAAATTCAGAATTCTGACTTTAATCTCAGAATTCTTACTTTCTCTGACTTTAATCTCAATTTTCAGAATTTCTTCCCAGAATTCTAACTTTTTCAGTGGCCCTTATCCTCTTCCGTAAATGTCCATCCTGTTTGTACATATATATATATTTTTTTCACTTTTTTTGTTTTAGACTTTTTTTTTTTTTTTTTTACATCAAAAAAAGGGAAGGTTATTAAATAAAAAAACAAAAATTCCTGTGGTAGATAACTATAAAACATTTTTAAAGGTCTTCTAAAGGTCATGTAACATTTGCATCTTTAAACTACTTATTATTTACTGCATTGGGAGTAAAATTAGCTATGTGGATTGTAAAGTTTACAAACCCCCATCTATATTAATTAATGACCTCATCTACTTAGAATATTCTTGATGTTCCTTCCAATCACGAAAATAGTTCCTTATTTCAAGTAAAAGAATATACATATACTATATTTTTCACTTCTATATTATTGTACAGTGATAATTTGCCTTTGTGCTTTGCAAAACTAAGTTAGTAGTAATTCACATTTGATTATCAAAGGTTAGTATGTTAGAATAGTTGAATACAAACTGGGACCATTCTGAAAATTTAGATTTTTTTTAAAACACAGTGTTTTCATAACCATTTCTGTTTCTCTCTTAATAGGAACAAAGTATTTAAAGTCAGATCCAGTTTACCCAACCAAGGACACAGACTGGGAGGCTGTTTTTCCTGACGGGACACCAATAAAGAATGACAAGAAGCCAGCCTATGTGTTTGTGTGGAAGACCTGTGGTGAGTGGAGCCAAAGAAAAACAACAACAGTCCAATTTAACCTAATCACCCAAATCTTTATGAACAGGATCACATCTGCTGACTAATGTGTTTTTGTCTTCTTCTTTGGCAGGTCAGTACTGGCAGGTAGCAGATGGGCCCTCATCCTCTCTTACTATTAACACTGATGAGCTCCCACTGGGTTCCTACAACATGGACATTGTTATCTATCACTACCGGAGCAAAGAAAAGTTTATTCCTTTGGGATATGCCTCTACTCAGTTTTCCATCACTGGTAAGTTTGAAGCTGGACAAAAACCTAGAAATGATGCTGCACTTTTTCAGAGTTGTTAGGTTGAATTTAACATTGGCTAATGGCTGCATTCAGGTGTTGCCTTGTTCTCAATGAACCTTGTGTTTGTCTTACTTGGGATTTGAGAAATCACCAGGGAGGAAATATTTCTAATAACAGAGAGGAAGGTACAGCTGGAAGGCACAATTGGGAAGAAACTTGGAATAATGTGTGCTATCATCAACCAGTGAAGGTGCAGAGGATTTGGATGTATATTCTAAAAAAGTTTAAAAACAAAACAAAACACTGAACTTGTTTAAAAAAAAAAAAAAAACTTCATTAAATACCGTTTTAAATACTTGAAAATGACTTTAACTGGAGAGAAAAGTGCAACGTTGGTCTCAGGAAGGTCAGATGTATGTTCATAAACACAGTGTAGACAAGTGGTGCAGGGTTTACAGAGTACCTACCATACACGTTGCCTGTATATCAAAGTGAGTTTTCAATGATGCGTCTGATGAAAAAAACAATACAATACAAACGTCCAGCTATTCTGACGTTTGGCCCCTGTTCTGGTACAATCGGTAAAGTAGATTAAACAGCTTAATGTTATGGTATGGAGTTCTCTTTTCAGGCCAGCATGTAACACTATCATCCTCTAAGAAATAAAGGCTGGTTAACATTTTTAGGAGCATCCCAAAAAACTCAAAAGCCCAAAGACGCCAATTTATGCAACACATTCTCACTCCCAACTCGTCACATATTGACGCCGAGGGTACCTGAAAAAACGTCAATATGTGACGAGTTGGGAGTGAGACTGTGTTGGTTTATTATCAACACAGAATGAGGCAGTACAAAAAAAAAATAAAAATAAAAAAGCACCTTTAAGAATGACCAAAATCTTTATTCATGATTCAGACCAACTCTAACCAGAATTCTGATATGGTAGTGGCATTATCATGTTGAGCCTTTGTTTTACTATTAGTGTCATTGGAGCATAGTGAGTGGAAAAATGAAGGTGGATGACCAACTTAGAATCCCTCAGTTTAACTTCAAATCAAAGGACAAACATACTTAAATGCTGGTTTTGGAACAAATAAAAGATGCTAACATTATGCAACAGAAGTAATTTCCATCAAGCATCAACTGAATCAAAGAGGTTCATCAAAGCATTCTATTTAAAAAAAAACACTGCCAAGTAGTGGGGTTAAATGTTTGGTCAAAAACCTTTTAATGACTACAGGAAGTGTTCTGGGGTGCAATTAATCGAAGGACATTTACCTAGTTACCAGTGGGGGTGTTTGTAATTAAATCAGTATGATTCATTTTGATATTCCCCCAAATCTTGTTTAAAATCAATAAGATTTTATGTTGTATTGGGACTGTCTTGCAACAAAAAAGGGTTGACTTAACCTCATGAAAGGGCAAAGCTATTGTTAATGGACTAAAACTGTATTATCTCCATAGATCAAATCCCCTTCACTGTCTCCTTGGATCAAATTGACGACATTGTGGCTGGTGACCTGCGCTTCATGCAGAACAAGGCTATAGCCTTCACAGTCACCCTCCACGACCCCAGTGCATACCTCGGCAACGCTGACATCACCTTCAACTGGGACTTTGGGGATGGGAGCGGAGCCCTCATATCCAGAGAGCTGACTGTCACTCACACATATGTAAGCTCTGGCTCATTCAAACCTCAGGTGGTCATCCAGGCAGCAATCCCTGATAAGGCCTGCGACCCACCATCTGACATCACAACCTCTACCCCTGGACCAGCTAATGACCAGGGCACCACAGGTAAGATTCTGCCTGTTTATCTATTTTATTTTTTTTATCTACTAGGTGCAAATTAAGAGCTCTTGATAAGATATGTATAAATATATATGATTTGACACTGTATAATTCAATTCAGTTCAATTATACAGCACTAATTCGTAACACGTCATCTCGAGGCACATTATAGATACAATTCAACAAGATCAAACTCTCAGACTGGTTACCGGTAAAAGTTTTCTTTCTACGGAAAAATGGCTGATTGCATTGAGTCACTGACTCAAAAGCAATCCCTTACACCAACACACACATCCTAGATGAGCATGAGGTGAGAGTAGATTTTGCTTGCATTTTCTTGTCAACTCCCTCACTTTGATGATCCATGCAACAACAGTGAAGAGAAAATAACTCCCTTTTAACAGGAAGAAACCTCCAGCAGAACCAGGGACAGAGTGAGCGTTCCTCTGCTGAGGCTGATTGGTTTCAAAGAGAGAGAAGCAGACAAACACCTCTATAATCTAGAACCAAAGGCATTATTGGCTGCAGTACTGATATTTCTCTCCAGGATGGAGTCACAGCTAAACAGGAATAGAGCAGAGGAGGCTACCATGGCAAGAAAAAGCAGAGAGAACATAACGTTAGGGGTTAAACTAACACATACTACAGAATGGGAATGGGAAACGAGAAATAGAATGATGAAAAGTGGTCCCTATGTCCTCCAGCAGCATAAGCCTATAGGATCATAACAATAGAGATATTTATATTTCTATATGTCCACTTTTTTGTATATACTATATAGTTAATTACAAGATTTCCAGAAAATATAATTAGAAACATATAACAAAATAATTTAACAGTTTTGTATCCCTAAAAGACACAGCTGTCTGAAAACTCATCTGGTTTTCTTCAGTTCCCATACTGGTTTCCACTAAGCCAGTTGGTTTGAACATCAACATGGGTCCCTCAGACACTGAGGAGGACACCACTGAGGGCGAAGCTTCCACAGCCTCCATCATTCAGCATGTCCAGAAAGCAGCAACAGTGGCAAAGACTCCTTCCCCTATAAACAAGCTGCCGGTTGCCAGCAAGGCAGGAAACAGAATGGTATCCAGTAAGTCTCTGCTACCTCATAATGGCTGAAGGAGGAAAGAAAAGGTTCTTCTTTAATCATTGGTATTAATAAAGCATTTTAAATGCTGCATTAACACCTAAAATCTTTACAAGAAAAATACTGCTATTTACCCATAACTCTCACCAGATAGGAGCTCTTAAGCAGTACATAGTCGTCCTTGAGAAGTTACTCTCTGACTTTCATTGATGCACAAGGTGTTTCTGAAATTGAGGCTTGGAAGTACAACAGTTGTTATTGGGAGATACGTGAGAGACACAGAAACAACAGGTTGATTAAATAAATGCATGCAATTTAAGTTGATAACAAAATACATGTTCTGTTTGTGGTGATAAGATGCAAAGAGAACAGCGAGGCTCTCAGGGCGAGCTTCAGCCATTGTTGTTGCTAAGAGGGATGCAGAAGACCAACCATCCGATGACGACTGTGTGATATATAGATATGGTTCCTTCTGTACTGGCATTGAAGTTTTTGGTAAGTTATTTTGAAGAATCCATTTGAGGAAGAAAAAAATATTAGTTTACTAATTACATTAAAGAATTAAAACTATCAGAAATAATGCTTATCTTTTTTTTTCCAGAGGGAATTGAAAAAGTAGACATTGTGCAAATGGAAAATGTCCTCATGACAACACCTAAAAAAGGCACAAATGTTTTAGACATTACTGTTACCTGCCAAGGAAGGTATTGAATGTCTGATTTAATTCCAGTGTAGAATAAATCAAGGCTGCGTGGGACTTCAAAAGAGTTCTCATTCGTTGTGTTTTTTGTTTTCTTACACAGTTTTCCCAAAGAGGTTTGTAGTGTGATTCTGGATTCAAAATGCCTGAAACCTATTCACATGGAATGCAACATGGTCGAGCCTTCAGAGGAGTGCCAGTTGGTGTTGCGTCACTTCTTTAATTCCTCCGGGGTCTACTGCATCAACGTTTCCATGGCAAATGATGTCAGCTTGGCTGCCACCACTGCCAAATTCACTGTAGATATGGGTAGGTAACAGATTAGCAATGTACCAGTTCACAAGAAGCTTTTTCAGGCCTTCTGATATTGATTTTTTATTTTTTTTTTGCAGGCTCAGATCTTTCTTCCTCCGGCACCATCGCTTTGCTGTTGGGGTTCCTGGTACTGATTCTTGCAGTTGGAATCATTGGATACTCCTACAAGTAGGAACTGTCACTTTAAAAATCTTCTCTCGTTCTATAGTGACTTTTCAAGTTTTCCAAAGCTTGAAATAAGACCCATCTCCACAGCCTCTTTAATTTGCATAGATAAGAACATATTTAAATTATCCATGTATCCTTCTTCCTCAGAACTGGAAGCAACAGTGGATAAGGGCCTTTTCATTGTTACAGCAGGACCTGATGGCCCTTTACTGTAGATTATCTGCACTCATCTGCTTTCCTGTTTCTAAATGTAGGAAGATTCTCCCTTCCTGCCTCTAAATATCGGCAGCTCAGTCCCCACAGTTGTTCCAACTCCTATTTTAAATCAAATGGATAAATATAGCTATTGTATAAGTGCTTCTAGCTTTAAAAGTTGAGTGAAGTGGTTGTGCACGCTTAAGGAATTATCGCATCGATCTTAGCATGTTCTAGTTCACATACCCCACAGAAAACCTTATATTTACCTCAAAGCTCTGGTGTCACCAGCATGTTCGGTTCATTTGCCTCTCTATATATTTTCCTTAAGTGTATTTATGGTTTTCTGTTATGAACTAACATTTGCTGAAATTTTACTCCTCTTCCTATCCTAGAAATGGTTTACGGATGTAAGTAAGACCTTTACCTGAGCTGAGCCTCCGACAAGGAGTTTATGTTTTCATCAGTATCTGTTTGTCTGTCTGTTTTGAAAATAGCTGAAAATTTATGGACTGATTTTGCTCAAATTTTTCAGAGGATTTTCTTACTGTGTCTGGTAATACTTTCTTACATTTAGGTGATTTGGATCACCATCGGGATCCAGGAATTTTTCTAAATATTCAGTGAATACAGGTGACAACTTAAGGTGAAAGTGACAATATGTCAGAGGAAATTAGCCACTTGGTGGAGGTCTGCGCTCTCGGAGTGCTTTTGGTCTACAAATACATTAACAAAAAAAAAAACAGATTTAAAAAACAAAATTCTGCTCGGTGACCAGGCTAAGTGTTTTTATCAATAGCATATATTTCAAACCATTTAAATGTTCAAACATGAATCATTGGTAATTAGAATATGTTTTGACAAGAAGTAGAAATTCCGCTGGCAGTAAGGTTTAGCTTTAATAACAAGACAATAACGATGTATGAAATGTGTAGCCAAATCTCTGATAGTTTGGAGTTTATTGCTATTAACATCTAGTTTATTAAATCATTGTTAGACTACTTTACAAATGACCTTTTTCGTCCCTTAATAGCACTTTTAGACTCTTATTCCTACATCTGTCTCCCTGATTATGAACATTACTGACTCCAGGATTGCCCTTGGTTGAATTTGTGAACTTAAACACCCAAACGTGGGCTTAATTTTCTCCAAAATCAATCTTACCCAGTATGTTTTATCTGTGTTTAAACTGGTTAATTAGATAAAGCCAGACATGGATTTTATATTCTGAACGTCACTCAGCTCCTGAAGAGACAAAATCCAGAAAAGCAATGTCAATAAATGAGTGTTTTCATTGAGATTTCATAAACCTTGCTTCTAAAATCTTAGAACCGACATGAAATGTTTTGATTTTTTATTTAAATAGCCATTTTTCTTTATATAACTAGTAATACTTTAATTGTTTTCTTTAAAAAGGTAAATGATAAATGATAGCTGATAAGGATTGTTATGTTTTTTTTTTTGGTAGCAAAAACATTCATGTCATCACTTCAATATATTAAAAGCACATTTATGATTATCGGGGGTTAAGTTGAATAATTTCTGATTGCTGGATTACAAAGGGTGCAAGTGTAAACATGCCGTCTTTATTTCTTCTTTGAACAGGCGTCTTAAACCCTACCGTCCTCTAAAGGAAGACAAGGCCGGATCCGAAAGCCCTCAGCTCAGTGAGGTCCGCAGCCACTCTGCAGCTTCAATGCTCTGGAACTCCCTGAACAGACCTGGAGCCATTGACAACAGCCCCCTGCTGCAGGACAGGGCGCTGTAAATCTCCACCATCAGACAATACAGAACATAATCAGCCCATGGATTCTTTTAAAAAATTTCTTCCTAAAAAGCCTTACAAATATGTAATATGTAGTAACTGTTTCATTTAATCACACTTTGGATGTTTTTTTTTTGTGTTTTTTTTTACATGAAGACAAACTGGACTTGGACATAACTGGATTTGGAAATTTTCAAAATAAACAAAATATGGGTTTATTGTAGGTACACATTTTTTTTATGCTGTTGATTACATCAGAATTTTAAGTCTGTTTCTACTCATAAGCTCGCCAATGTTCACTTTTTATAGAAAGAAAATGTTATGATAAGTGTTTGGACAGAATAAAAAGAGGACACACAACTTCACATCACAGAGATTTTATTCAGAACAAAGTCAAACTTGGCAATTTCAAGAGTTTAATTCAAACAGCCCAAACTGATACTTTGGTGGACAAACATCTCTGGTTTGAGTGTTTTTCTCCTCTGTGTTTCTTTTAATACTCTTCTCCTTCCTCTTCTCCCTCACCCTCAATGGAGTCGACCCCAACCTCCTCATAATCCTTCTCCAGAGCTGCCATGTCCTCCCTGGCCTCGGAGAACTCTCCCTCCTCCATTCCCTCACCCACATACCAGTGGACGAAGGCACGCTTGGCGTACATCAGATCGAACTTGTGGTCCAGCCGAGCCCAGGCCTCTGCAATAGCAGTGGTGTTGCTCAGCATGCACACCGCCCTCTGGACCTTGGCCAGGTCCCCACCAGGAACCACAGTGGGTGGCTGGTAGTTGATGCCAACCTTGAAACCAGTGGGACACCAGTCCACAAACTGGATGGTTCGCTTGGTTTTGATGGTGGCGATGGCAGCATTGACATCTTTGGGCACCACATCGCCACGGAACAGAAGGCAGCAGGCCATGTACTTGCCATGACGAGGGTCACATTTCACCATCTGATTGGCTGGCTCGAAGCAAGCGTTTGTGATCTCAGCCACCGAGAGCTGCTCATGGTAAGCCTTCTCTGCAGAGATCACAGGGGCGTATGTGGCCAGAGGGAAGTGGATACGGGGGTACGGCACCAAGTTGGTCTGGAACTCTGTCAGATCAACGTTCAGGGCACCATCAAAGCGAAGAGATGCAGTGATGGAGGACACGATCTGACTGATCAACCTGTTCAGGTTGGTGTAGGTGGGACGCTCAATGTCGAGGTTTCTACGGCAGATGTCGTAGATGGCCTCGTTGTCCACCATGAAGGCACAGTCAGAGTGCTCCAGGGTGGTGTGGGTGGTCAGGATGGAGTTGTAGGGCTCCACAACAGCAGTGGATACCTGAGGGGCTGGGTAGATGGAGAACTCCAGCTTGGACTTCTTGCCGTAGTCCACAGAGAGACGCTCCATCAGCAGGGAGGTGAAACCAGAACCGGTTCCTCCACCGAAGCTGTGGAAAACCAGGAAGCCCTGCAGACCTGTGCACTGATCGGCCTGAAGAACAAGATTAAAACCAAAATCAATTGCTTACCAACTTAAAGATTTACACAAACCTTTCAAAGTCACTGGTATTGGTTTTACCCACCAGTTTACGGATCCTGTCCAAAACCAGGTCAATGATCTCTTTGCCGATGGTGTAGTGTCCTCTGGCGTAGTTATTAGCAGCATCTTCCTTCCCAGTGATCAGCTGCTCAGGGTGGAACAGCTGGCGGTAGGTCCCAGTGCGAACCTCATCTGAATAGAAAATAAAGCATCAAATTAGCCTAAGTTTGTGGTTGCTTCACAGACATAATCTATAAAAATCCAACCAGATATGACTGTGCTTACCGATGACAGTGGGTTCCAAATCTACAAAAACGGCTCTGGGAACGTGCTTCCCTGCTCCAGTCTCACTGAAGAAGGTGTTGAAGGAATCATCTCCTCCACCGAGAGTCTTGTCACTGGGCATCTGTCCGTCCGGCTGGATCCCATGCTCCAGGCAGTAGAGCTCCCAGCAGGCATTGCCAATCTGGACACCAGCCTGACCGACGTGGATGGAGATGCACTCACGCTATAGAGCAAAAAATAAATAAAAACACGCCAATTTAGATAAAACCCATTAACATCTTCGCAACATAAATACATCTTAATTTCTGTAAAATAAATAACTGCTCCCCCTGTCTGCAATTTGCAGGGAATGCAGCAGGAGGAGGCACCACCCTGCACCACAATCGGCAGGGGACATGGAAATGCCTGCCAGCAGCAACCCCCGCGCCTGTCTTTGATCCGCTTTTTTTTCATGCTCCGGTCTTTTTCTCCAACTCTTGCATCTCTTTTGCAAGCATAAGCCCACATGCAAATTAATTTGCATGTGCATGGGTGCAGGCATTTGGTGAGTCTGGAATATTCCAGTTGATTTATCTGGAGATGCACAATCTCAGCGGATGCTTGGACACAAAAAAAATAAAACAAAACAAAAAAAACACAAACCCCCCACAAATTTGTTTTATACTTATGTTTTTTTAATCAGGTAAGGAGATTTTGTTAAAAACAACGAATTTTGTTAATAGTACACAGCAGAATACTGTCATATTTACCATCAAATGCATCAATTATTTATCTAAATTGCATATTGGATCCTAATAATGAAAAATAAAAGTAATCTTAGTCTCTATCCATCTACAGAACACACAACCCGCCCCTCCCCACTGTAATAAAGACGTAAATATTCATATTTTTAAATAATAAAGTTACATTGGATTATTTTATAGTAAAATCTACTGAAAAAAATGTAAAAAGTGTTGCTTATTTGCATTTAACGGCTGCTTATCGCTCTCGTTGTGCGTAAATGCAGCCAGTCAGTGCATTGTTCTCATCTCCAAACAATGACAATCACACTGTGCCACAATTGCGCACCAATCTGCGCATCCTTTTTACGAACTAACGGTTCCATTCATTTCTAAATATAACTAAAATATACAGTTAAGACTGAAAACGCAACATGAAATACACCCACGTGTTAAAAACGTTACGCGTCGAAAGAAGAAAATCCTTCACGACGTCGTGTGACAGCGAGACACCGGCTCGCGCTGAATTAGGATCAGATTCTCCCTCATAAATTCTTCCAGTCGAGATTATTTATCACAAATAATAACACAAACTTACCATTTTTCCGACTGAGGTTTAAGGAGGAAGAGGAGAAAGGGGAAAAATGCCAAGAAGAGGTCTTTGTAAAAACGGGGTGTTTGCGTTGCGTGTTGTACCCAACGGGGTCGATGCAACAACTGCTGAATGGGAGGGCGGTGCAGGCAGATTTATGCAGGAAGGGCAGCGGATCTGCTTCTGGGCAGAGTGGAAAAAAACACCATTCTACCGCCGCCATTTGGTGATGATGGTGAAGATCATCGGAGGAGAACCAATCTGGATAGAAACCCATTTCAATTATAGAATAAAATTATTAAAATAATATGAACTTGATTTTATATTTCAAAATTTATTATGGAATTTAGATATTTAGCCTTTTTTTAAAGCTCATGCAATAATTTGAAATGTAAATTTTAAAGTGATGGGTGGTTCAGACGAAAAACATTTATTCATCAGCATCCACCTGCGTGAGACATTTTCTCACTCCATTTGAAACAGAAAAATAATGAAATGTTTCAGGTGAAGAAGCTTCCATCACATGCAGGGCGTGCATGTTGCAGAGACAGGTCTGCTGTGATGGTGTCAGTCCAGCATGGCAGCTCCTCTCCTCTCCTCCCTCTTTTGTCCCAGATCCTCTGCAATGATGTCATTCAGTGGGCCGATCACGTGACCGCCTGTCTGCCCGTGTCTGGGTTCACGCAGCTTCTTGTGGTTCTGGCCTGTGTGAGGAAATGAAACTGCCTGAAAAGCAGGAGCCTGTATGTGAAATCATGCACAGTTCCTCTGAAGTAGTACAGAGCAGTGGCCATCAGGGATTTCCAGATTTAAATGCTACAAGGAATCTTAAATCCTGTTGGGAATGAAAGCCGGAATAATGGATTTGTAAATCACAGCTTTTTTTTTTTTCTTCCAAACAGGAATGTGTTTTTCCTTCTCAATCCAAAGTAAGGGGATTGAGGATGTTTGACACTCGATATGACAGCAGGGATGAAAGCGGCGAGCAGGAAACAGGGGAGGCTGTGAGCCAGGAATATTTGAGAACATTCTCATCTCCTCCTCCCCCTGTTCTTCTCCCTCCCCAGCAGCTGTGAAGCAGGGAGGGTCAGAGCAGCTGCTGAGTATGAAGGGAGGAGGATGGGAATGCTAGAGATGGGAGTGGTCCTTCGTGGCATGGAGCTGACTGCATTACATTGATGCAGGGACACAACCTGATACCCAACAATATGACAGAGCATATTCTCCATGTGTTACAGAATGCTTTCTGCATTAGAATGCAGAAAAATGGAAATAGATAGAAGAATATTATGTACAATTATGTTTGCCACTTGTATACTGATGTAAACCTGAAAAAAATGCGTACACACAAGGAGCAAAACTGCTATTCATCTATTAAAATGCTGTTAAGATCACTGTCCTCCTGTAATGCTTTAATCAATAGTGAAAGAATAATGAACCATCAACTGAAAAACTGCAGCACAATACTTATACAAGAAGGGTCAAGAATTGGTGAGGGAACTGGTGAGACAGAAGTAAAAAAATCAATCAATGTCACTTTATATAATTAAAAGGAAGAAAAGCTTGCCGAAAATTTGAAGACAAAACTACAATTTGTCTGAAGGTCTAACAGCCAAGCAAAGGTATTAGTATCTTGTGGAATTATCTCTATTACATCATGATACTAACCTAGCATAAGCTAGATTGATACGTGTATCAATACGTGTATGAATTCTACTCAGTATTAATCTGGAAAGGCCCCTGTGAAGTGTGAAGGTGATGGGGTAAATCCCCAAGTTGCACCTGCCTTCCATGTCCAGATTTTAGCCAATCACAGAAGCAGTCACAGCTTTTAGCCAATCACAGAAGCAGTCACAGCTTTTAGCCAATCACAGTAACAGTAGCAGCTTTTAGCCATTTACAGCAACAGTCGCAGTGGTTAGCCAATCACAACAGCAGTCACAGCTTTTAGCCAATCAAAGCAGCAATTGGAGCTTTTAGCCATTTACAGCAACGATCTCAGCGGTTAGCCAATCACAGCAGCAGTAGCAGCTTTTAGCCAATCACAGCAACAGTTGCAGCTTTGAGCCAATCACAACAGCAGTCACAGCTTTTAGCCAATCACAGCAACAGTTGCAGCTTTGAGCCAATCACAACA